AACAACGTAAATTAGATATGAGTGACGTAATTCCGTCTCCATGGAACCAACATAACCGAAAACGGAAGATTCAACCAGATGATCATGATGATTATGATGATGATGATGACGATGATGTTAACATACCTAAGAAAGTTAAAGTTATAAGTACCTAGTAATCCAGACATTTAAACTCAGTAATGAAAATGGCACGTAAGAAGAATGTTAAACCTAAGAAAACAGCTACAATTGACCAACAACAACAACGATCACAGCGACAGAAAAAAAATCAAAGTAAATCAAGTACGAAAAGGAAGGTTAGCTTTTCTAGTGCAATTAAACGAATAGGGAAGCATGTGGTAGCTCAAAAACCTACTACCTTTGGAGAAGCAATACTTGTAGCATTGAGGGAGGCACAAAATTTGAAGAAAGGTGTAAGAAAGCCGCCAAATCGTATAGTGAAGATACCGAAAAAAGGAGGTGTACTACCACTAATCTCAATTTTTGCTGGCTTATCAGCCCTTGGAGCTTTGTCTGGTGGTGCTGCTGGTATTGCTAAGGCTATCAGTGATGCAAACTCTGCAAAGCAGCAATTACAAGAATCTCAACGTCATAATAAAATGATGGAAGCTGTAGCACTTGGAAAGGGAATGTTTTTGAGACCCTATAAAACGGGAATGGGTCTTTTCCTGAAACCATACACTAACTGAAACCAGTTGTGAGATAAAGGAAAATGAAAAAGAAAAAACAAGTAGTTAAAAAAATTTCAATTCCAAATAGTCACCCGTTAACAAACTTTGAACTGGAAAAGTATGCAAAGCATTTAAAAATATCGTATTTTCGAGGAGTATTTATGCGAGATAAGCTTCCCAAAAAACTAAAAATCGATGAAAGAGGAATCATTAATTTGGATACATCTACTGGACCAGATACTCACTGGACTGCATATAAGAAAAAAGGAAACTTGGTGGTTTACCTAGATACATATGGAAACTTAGAACCACCATTGGAAGCAATTGTATATTTTAATTGTAGTTGACCCTGTAGAATACAGTACAATTATAATTCATTTCAAAGATTTAATACTGTAAATTGTGGTCAATGGTGTTTACGTTTTCTCAAAGGTGAATAAATACTGGTTCCATAATAACACTTGTTTATTTCATCTATGACCATTGATCGGTTCATATCATGTATACATTTACCTTATCTGGTAGAGAGTCTGTGTTATCAGCTAAAATCTATCCACCTATGGTACTGGATAATAGGAAAACGTACGCTTTAGGACTTATTGATTTTTTAACTTTCAACACAATACCCAACATAGATATAACAAATAATAAGTTTCATATTGATGATGAGGTTTTAATAATACCTGAAGGTAGTTATGAAATTACAGACATTATAGAATTTATTAAAGAGAGAATCAAACCACGAGTAGGTGAACAAAATAAAAAAAGGAGAATGTCCCCAAAACAACAACAACAACAACAACAACAACAACAACAACACAACATCAACAACAACAACCACAACAAAAACAAAAACGATCTCTAAGTTCAAATGCAATTTTAAAAGAGGATAAACAGCCTGACATATATGCGAAATAATTTGAATACGTTACGGTTTGAAATTAAAAGTAACCGACTCATCGATTTTGAGCAAACTGGTACAATAGGTGGGTTATTAGGGTTTAGTAAGAGAAAATTGAGTCCACATAAACTATACATCTCAGATTTTCCTGTAAATGTTTCCAAAGTGAACTCTATATGTATGGAATGTAATCTGATAACGAATTCTTTTAGAAATGATCATGCTGTTCACACGTTGCATATGTTCTACCCTAACGTGGCTAGTGGACTTCGCATAATAGAAAAAGTATCAAATATCATTCATCTACCAATTACATTGATGAAATAGTGCTTAAAGTAGTGGATCAAGACGGAAATTTGGTTAATTTTAAAGGAGAAGTGATAACCATAAGAGTACACTTAAGAGAACTTTAGCATGGTATTCCTTTATAATATTGTAGTACCGTTGAGCTCAGCTAACAGCGAGAACAACAATAACAACAACAAGGATAAAGGTCAAAATAGATCAACAAAAACTATTAATAAACAAATTCATGTTGGTAAAACAGTTAGTAGTAAACAAGGAAGCAAGGGATTAACATCCGAAAATATACAATTTCTACAGTTGGTTGGCTTTAAGGTGATTGCATAAGTGTGGCGGACGCATATCAAGAACAAACGGTTAATAGTGATAGTAATAGCAGCAGCAGCGGCAACAGCAATACCTGCACTGCTGGATTGATACTACGCATAAAATTAGCACTCGACTCTGAACTACAAAAGTTATTTGTTAATCTCAAGTGTAGCTGTTTGATAAAACAAACAAAAAAAGATGAGCTTCAATGTTCTCAACATAGGAGAAAATATTTTAATGGATAATTCTATTACCAATTGTGAAATGCATAGCCATCCACCTATACAACTACACATAATTCAGATGAAATAAGAATACCAATACAAACACAAGATATCTATACACTACCTTGTAATAGCTCACTGTACATTGAAGGAAGATTACTAAAGGCAAAGGAGAAGAAATGGTCACCAACATTACGCCTCGTAAATAATTTTGTATCATTTTTATTTGATGAATTGCGATATGAAATTGGAAGTATAGTTGTTGATAGAGTTCGCAATCCTGGTATAACACCAAGGACTGGTATCTTTCACAAACCATGAAGGTAATAGTTACCAACATGAAGGCTGGAATCATCAAGAATTACCCGAAATACGAAACAGTGAAGGTTATTTCAGTGTAACTATTCCACTGAAAAATTTAATGGGGTTTTTTGAAGACTTTAAAAAAGTACTAATCAACATCAGACAGGAATTGGTCCTTATAAGAAGCTCCACAGATGTTAATGCAATTGTAACGACAACACCTGGCGAGAAACCTCATTTAGATCTGTACAGAATACTATGGAGAATTCCACACATCCAAGTAGCTGATACTGAAAAACTACACCTCATGAAGTACATAGAGAAAGAAAGGGACTTACAACTAGCGTTCAGGAGTTGGGAGTTGCATGAGTACCCCATTTTACAACAGACAAATAAACATACATGGAACATCAAGGCGACTAATCAATTGGAAAAGCCACGTTTCGTTATTGTTGCTTTTCAAACGGATCGGAAAGGACAGCTGACTAAGAACTTGAGTCACTTTGATCACTGTAACTTGAGCAATATCAAATTATTTTTGAATTCTGAAATTTATCCATATGACAATGTAACTTTCAATATGAGCAGAAATTATTTTAGTATCTTGTATGAAATGTATGTGCGCTTTCAGCAGTCCTATTATTATAGAAATTCCAGTGCGCCATGTCAAAACTTGAAAACTTTCATTGATGCAACCCCACTTTTTGTTATTGACTGCAGCAGGCAAAATGAGACATTAAAATCGGGCTCTGTTGATATTAGATTGGAATTTGAAACTACCGTAAATATACCACCAAATACTACTGCCTTTTGTTTGCTATTACATGATCGTCTTGTAAAATATAATCCACTAAATAGTACTGTAAAAGTTTTTTGATAAAAGATGTTGATCTTGTATTGATAACATGTAAAGAGAGAGTGTGTAAATAAAACATTACTTGTGGAGAAATCACTTTTTTGTTTTAAAATATCTTTTGTGACAATAACAATGTGTCATCATCATCATCATTGTCATCGTTATCATTGCCTGTGACTGTTGAAGATGCTGCTGGTGGTGGTGGTTTCCTAACCTTTTGCGTAGGCTCCTTCTCCACTACCACTGCCACCAAGACCACCAAGACCACTCGTTCCAGGTCGATCTTCTATAGACTGTCGATTGATGTCTTCCAACTGTTCGTCCAACAAATTGAACCGATATTTTTTGACGATTCTTTCCAATACCTGGAATTCCGCGATCTTATCCAATTTGGTCCTCAAATATTTGATTGGCAGCAAGCCGAATTTTCGTTTTAATGTTGCTGCTCTTGGTGAGTAAGTTAATTTTACGAAGATTTTGTCACCGCTCGCTTTGATCTTCCTGACACCGTATCCGAAGAAGAAAAAAAAAAGATTAATAGAACTCTACCCATACACTACCAAGGTAAGTGATTTGTTTGACTTATTCGAAATGCTTTAGATTTGTTCAAACAAGATCTATTCACACACACACACACAACATTACCAAAATCGGTGAAAAACACATTAGGAATACTAGTTCTAGGTTGATTGTTAATACGTATCTAAATATGTATGCTAGGCACTGTTGAAAAAATAATACATAATAAATAAAAAAAGTCTCCTAGAATAAGGAATTGGAAAGATAACACAACAATAATGACAAAATAGCAAAAGCAAATCAGTATTGAGAGAGAGAGAGAGAGAGAACAACTTACTGAAACAATTCCTTCATGACCGATAACAGGTCATTAATTGGTAAATTCACAGGATCTTCCGTGAAGACGATGAGAGTTGTTGGTGTTGTTGCCATTATATGTCTTGATCACCACTTGTAACTCTGATACTAACTACTTACACACACTAGCAATTTATACAGATATTCTAGGAAAAAAAAACATCCATATCAATTGCAAGCTGACTGTTTGCTTCCATAAAATGTAAGATAGTTTTCCATCAAACAAAATCGTATGATTCTATAATTGCATGATGTCTAAGGTCAGAGGTCATTGTCGTCATTCTCCATATCAAGGAAAATAACATTTTGCTGCATGTGCATAATCATCATGTTTTCTCAAAACATAATTGCATGAATAACATAAACTATCTAACGTCCGGGGTCATCGGGTCATGCGGCTCCATATCAGTGGAAAATAACATTTGATGCAAATGTGCACAACATGTTTTTTTCTAGAATAGAATCGTATGATTCCTTATTAGTGATAAATAGCATTTTTTTGTTAGATTCCACTGTATTTAAGCCAGCACCTTGACCACATTCGTCATCTGTGTTCTCACACACACAGTCGCTGCATATCTACACATATCCAAATGAGTAGCCAAAAGGTGATCGATACTGTGTCTGACGAATTCGTTAGGAGAATAGAGGTGGTAAGTAGATTAGTTAGGACAAAAGCAGATTACGATTTTTATATTAAAGAGATACAAAAATGTATTAGAGCGCTTAATAAGTGTATCAACAGAGTTTGATTGTGTTAAGAATTTTTCAAAAATAGAGTCTAATTTGTCACTTCTCAAGGCTTACCTTGAAAACTTCAAATATAAAAGAAATCGTAAAAGCCAAAATAGAGAGCTTGTTTGGGCAAATGTGGATTCATGCTTTAAGAATAGAATTAAGTCAGGTGTTATAGTTAATTTGAAAATAAAAGATTCAAAATTATTTTTCAAGAGTGCATTCAAAAGTTTTGCGTAACAAATAAGAAAACAGCTTGATATTTGTATGTTAAAATCGAAGGTTATTTTTTATAGTTTGTTCATTAAGCCTCAGACTGCAGAAAGATCGATCAAACATTTTGTTACAAAAAGTCATATAATTGATAGAAATACCAATTTAAAAGTGTGGTATAAAGTTCATGTCACTGATCAAGTTTTGAGAAAATTAGAAGAGTTCCAAGAGCGTGATTCTGGATGGGCCTTATTAGAAATTTTGCATTTAAAAGTGAATATTAATAGATATTGCTCCATAAATGTTGGTGTTTCAACTTATGTTCCCGCAACAAAATTTATACAAAAGTCAAAAAGTGTAATTAATATTAAAAATAATGATAATTATTGTTTTTTGTGGTCAGTTGTAAGCGCCTTGTATCCTGTAGAAAAAAATGTAGCCCGCCAATCATCATATCCTCATTTCAGTACAGTATTGAAATACGAAAATATCAGCTTTCCTATACGTTTGAAAGATATACCCAAGTTTGAGATTATGAATAACCTAGCAATAAATGTGTTCACACTCGTAGGCAAGCGGAAAAATGAAGTTGCACTGGTAATACTCAGTAAAACTAATTTCACGCCTAGAATCAATTTACTTATGTTTTGCAATAATGATAGTTACAATTCGAATGCTGACACTATTTATCATTTTGCGTATATAGAAAATTTGTCACGCCTAATAAGTAGACAAATAGGCTGGAAAGATCACAAAAAATGGATTTGTGAAAGGTGTCTAAATTATTTTTCAAGTGAACATCATTTGAGAAACCATTCTGAAGATTGTAGGCAGCTTAACAGCACTAAGGTCGTTATGCCTAATGAAATTAATATTATTATGAAATTTAAAAACTTTAGGAATAAATTATGTGTTCCTTTTTCCATTTATGCAGATATTGAAAGCATACTTATGAATTATGAGGATGATAATAATGGAACAAATAACACACAAAAGTTTCAAAAGCATGAGGCTTTCAGTGTAGCTTACTATCTTAAATCGAATTACGAAAATATATATCCTTCCAAATTTAGATTGCATACGGGTGCTGATTGTCAAAATTGGTTTGTTAATGAATTGCTCAACATTGCTAAAGAACTTCATAAAGTTTATCAAACATGCGAACCTGTAGATCTAAACAGTGATGAGGCGAAAGGTTTTCGCTTGACTTCCAGTTGTAGTATTTGTGAGAAACCTTTTGATGAAAACGAAGTGAGAGTTAAAGATCATTGTCACTTAACAGGTAAATATAGGGGAGCAGCTCATATGTCTTATAACGTAAACTATTGAAACTCACGTACTGTACCTGTGTTGTTCCACAATTTTTCTGGATACGGTGCATATTTTATAATCAGAGCTCTCAGCACCAATATTGAACGAAATTTCAATTTATTACCTTTGAATAAAGAGCGTTGTATTTCGTTTACAAAATACATTGCCGGTACTAACATCAGTTTTCGGTTTCTTGATCCTTTCCGGTTCCTACCTAGTAGTCTGGACAAGTTATCCTCATATCTAGATCATCATCAAAAGAAAATAGTCAAGGAACATTTTCCTGACGATAATAAGTTTGAGTTGGTAATGAGGAAAGGAGTTTTTCCATATGAATATCTAAATTCGTGGGAAAAATTAAAAGAGACACGGTTATCACAAAAAGATGATTTTTTTAGTACTGTCAAAAACGATGCTATTTCGAATGATGACTATCAGTATGCAATGAATGTTTGGCAAGCATTTCATATCAAAAATCTTCAGGAATACGCTGAATTATACTTGAAAACTGATATTTTGCTGCTTTGTGATGTTTTAGAAAATTTCCGTCATGTGTGTTTGCACACATACAATTTAGATGCATTACACTATTTTACTACGCCATGTCTAGCTTTTGATGCCATGCTTAAAGTCACTAATGTTGAATTAGAACTGTTGACTGACAGTGATATGGCTTTATTCATAGAAAAAGGTATCAGAGGAGGTATATCGCAATGTTCTAACAGGTACGGCGAGGATAACAATAAATTCATGAATAGTGAATTTAATCCTGATTTACCAACTTCGTTTTTGATGTACTATGATTTAAATAATTTATATTTAGCTGCAATGTCACATTCGTTACCATATGGGGATTTTCAACGGGGTCCAGTTGATAACATCTCTATTGAAAATATTTTGAGTGCTGATGAAAACGAATACGGATACATCCTAGAAGTTGGTCTACACTATCCTCTCCATTTACGCGATTCACATAAAGATCTACCATTGTGTCCTGAACACTTAGTACCACCTACTTCGTATTCTGATAAACCAAAATTGTTAACAACTTTGTACGATAAACAAAAGTATGTAGTACATTATGCATTACTGAAACAAGCTAAGCAGCTGGGACTTGTCATTAGGAAAGTTCATCGTTGTTTAAAATTAAGACAGTCAACTTGGTTAAAAAAATACATTGATCTCAATACAGTGCTCAGAAAGCAAAGTACAAATGATTTCGAGAAACATTTTTTCAAATTAATGAATAATGCCCCTTATGGCAAAACGATTGAAAATGTTAGGAAATATAAAGACATAAAATTGGCTACTAAGTGGTCAGGAAGATACGGTGCAAAATACTATATTACACAACCTAACTTTCACAGCTGCACTATATTTGATAAATGTATGGTCATAATTGAAATGAATAAACTGAAAGCTACATTAAACAAACCAATTTTCATTGGTATGTCGATATTGGACATATCTAAAACTTACATATATGATTTTCATTACAATTATATTAAACACAAATTCAAAGATGATTCAAAACTACTATATACTGATACAGATAGTTTAATATATCAGTTTTCAAATATTGATGACATTTACAAACACATCAAAGAAGACATTGATAGATTTGATACGAATGATTATCCAGAAAACAACGTTTTTGGAATTCCATTGAAAAACAAAAAAGTTATAGGGTTAATGAAAGATGAAAATCAAGGTCGAATCATGACACACTTTATTGGGTTGAGTTGAAAAATGTATGCTTTGAGAACTTTGCCTGAGCCAGGAAACAAGGACTCTCATGTTATTAAAAAAGCGAAAGGAATTCAAAAGACAGCTTTGAAGGAAATAATGGATTACCATAAATGTTTATTCCAAAATACTCAAGTAGCTGTAACACAGCAATCCATAATTTCGAAACATCACAATGTATTCACAATTTCCCAACAAAAAATTGCATTGAGTCCATATGACGATAAAAGAATTGTCAATTATATTTATACAGACACAAAACCATGGGGATATCATGATTACTTTTGATTTCTTCTTTAATTTTGGATTCTGTTTTTGTCCATAAAACTAATCTACAACCACGTTAACCCTTAGCCACAATAAGCTTTGAATGTAAGTATACATATAATATTTTTTTTTATTTTTTTATTTTTCTAGAATGTTCTAAACTCAACCAACAAACGATTCCAAAACATTCAAAACACGAAACCCAGCAAACGAATACGACCAACTACGATTTCTAAGAGACACTACGACGCAACAGAAGGGAGTAAGTTCTGTAACAATTGTAAACATTTTTTTTGTTTTTGTAGAGAATCAGTAGAGAGAGAGAGAGAGAGAGAGTGTTCAAGCGAGATACAGGGTGGATTGGTAAACATATATACTCTAAAAAGGACTCTAAGAAGAAAACCTGCTCATTCTTCGTGGCACACGTCATCAAGGTGACCAAATGTGGTGTTTGCGGAAAAATTATAAAGGAGCTACCAGCGGCGGCTACCTTGGACGTCGACTGGAGACCACATAATGTATTTGTTAGATATTGTCCTGTGTGTTTCCAAGCAAGACCCGGCATCCAAGAAAAAAGAACAGACTGGTTACCTGGCTACTGATTGGGAAAATGAATAAAGACCTTTTTTGAAAATATCATATCCTCTTTCTTTCTTTCTCCCCCCTCCCTTCAATTTTCTATCATTTAAAAATAGCTTGAAAAATGCATACATTCCTTCTTTGTAATCAGTTTCACTATTGCAGCAGCGCAGTAGTATTAGAACGACATGAAAATTGTTAAGCAAAAAACAACCTTAGATATTGATAACAGTGATGTATTCAAGAATACGTCTATCCAAAACAAACATGGTGTGCTGTTTCCTTCAACGTTGCGATGCCTTATAGTTGGACCTTCTAATTGTGGAATAAAAAATCTCATGATCAATTTGATTGAACATGAAAACGGGTTAAAATTTGAAAATGTTTATGTGTATTCAAAGTCTTTGTATCAACCAAAATATAAATATCTGGCAGAATTGTTACCACCTATAAAAGGGATAAAATATTTTCCATTCAATGCGAGTGACAACATTTTACACCCTTCAGATGCCAAACCAAATTCCATATTTATTTTTGATGATGTCGCATGCGATAATCAGGATGTTATCAGAGAATATTTCAGTATGGGACGTCATAACAGTATAGATTCTTTCTACTTGTGTCAAGCATATGCAAAAATACCTAAACATCTAGTAAGGAATAATGCAAATATCCTTATACTTTTCAAACAGGATGATTTAAATTTAAAACATATATATATATATATATATATATAATGATCATGTGGGTTCTAATATGCCATTTGATGATTTGAAACGTATATGCACAGTATGTTGGGAAAATTCATATGATTTTTTGACCATATTCAAAGACTGTAACATTGACAACGGTCGATATAGGAAGGGTATAGGTCATTTTATTTATATGGATAGATCTCGTCCGATACGTTCAGAACAGACTGACAACTGATCAAATCCTGATCATCACCTGATCGCACGCTGTTTACCACCTGATCGTAATCTGATTACCTGATGATAGGATTATGATTATGGATAAACTATTCACTGGAAGTCATCTCAAAGAGAGACTTATATTGAAGCGTCAAAACGTTCGAAGAAAATTACATCAACTGAAACATGGGGAAATGTTACAAGAAGCCTTGTACAATCCCATCACAAAACATTTAAAAAGTATCGAATCTAAACTCCAAAATTATACTAGTGCCAACACCATACCTCCTGGTACCTCAGTTTCTTCTCAAGTAGCTGAAGCTGCTATAAGGCCTCAAGCAAAACAAGAAGTATACCTGGACACATCCAATGACAAGGTATTAGCACCTCATGAAGGAGCATTATGGACAACTCCTACAGCTCTGTCTGAATCACGTAAAAGGAAATTAGTATTTAAATCAGCGACACCCAGAAAGAGGACAATTTCTAAAAGTGAGGAACACTCCGATTATGATGTTGATGATGATGATGATGATGATGATGGTCCACCAAGTAGTATAAAAAGATCCATCATAGACGGTATAGATTGTGACTATGAAGACAATGATTCTACTGGATTGGGGAATGATAATGCTGTTGCTACTGCTGCTTCTGATAAAAACAGATTTGATGATATTGCAGAAAAGTCATTCAATGATTACTTAGAACAATATGATGACCCGTTACCTAGAAGATAATCAGTGAAATGTATGCAGACAAAAATAATCGAGAATTTGATCATAAGTATGGTGTCAGGCTCGATAAAACCATCGAACAATTTATGATTGGTGATTCTAAATTAGACTTTATGGGAGCTGATATATATGTGAAAGGTAAACGGTACAAGGGTAGTCAAGGTTTATACGAATTGTTATTTAGAAAATATCCGAACATGAATTTCTGCAGCTCTGACGATGTGAACACCTACAGGCAAATTGTATATAAAACTAATGCCCACAGGAGGTACTACAGATCTAATACTCAACTGGATGGGAGTAAGCTACAAAAATATAAAAAAATTATAGCACCTCCTTTAAAATTGGGTTATGGAATAATGAACAATAAAAATATGGCCACGACAATGGAATATTCTAGCAATGATAAAGATTATATATACTGAGATGATCCAAATGAACTTGTAAGTCGTCTACGCTTGTTGATTGCATCAAGAGCTGCTGGTCACTCGGGTCATGTTAATGAGATCAATTCGATAGTTGAGGAATTAAGGGAAAGTCAATATATTGAATAATGGTTAAAACATTTAAAACAAACATAAAACGTCAAGTCGTTGAAGAACTACACAAACCTGCACGTATAAATATCCAAAGAAGACGAACCATTTTGAAATCTCTAAACGACCTTTTCCAAGCAGATCTTGTAGAAATGATACCATACTCGAGTGAAAATAAAGACAGCAAATATACACTAGTTGTGATGAATTGCTTTTCTAAATTTCTTTGGGCTCTACCTTTACAAAATAAAACAGGTAAAGCGGTTATGAAAAAAAAACTATTATCTACTGTATATAATCGCTTGAAAACGGTAAACTTAAAAACGAAATTCAAAGTGGGTGATTATGTACGCATTTCTAAAGTAAGAGTGGTTTTTGTTAAGAAATATCAGCCAAATTGATCGCCTGAAATTTTCACAATACGAAAAGTAACACTAACTAACCCAATAACATATTTGTTGAAAGATGAAAATAATCAAAATATTTTAGGAGGGTTTTATACAGAACAACTGCAAAAGGTAAAACATCCTGATGTTTATCTTGTAGAAAAGATATTGGAAAAAAAGGAGACAATATCAAGGTCAGATGGTTAGGATTCGATAAGCAACATGACAGCTTGGTACATAAAAAGAATATTGTCTAATAAACAATCTCAATTCATGTTCAGTCTTCTTGTGCAGCGTTTGCATTCGACAGTCCACAAAAAAATGATCATTATTGACGTTCAAGGGTTTACTTGTGGCTCCAACTTTATTTGCAAAGAAATTGCTATCATTAATACAGCAACGGGATATTGGCAACAAAAATTAGTTAATCTACCCGTAGAATTTACAATGCTCAACAAGAGCACACAGTCACAGATCAACTGGACTGTAGACAATTTACATGGAATTCCTTGGGAAAAAGGAGACAATATCAAGGTCAGATGGTTAGGATTCGATAAGCAACATGACAGCTTGGTACATAAAAAGAATATTGTCTAATAAACAATCTCAATTCATGTTCAGTCTTCTTGTGCAGCGTTTGCATTCGACAGTCCACAAAAAAATGATCATTATTGACGTTCAAGGGTTTACTTGTGGCTCCAACTTTATTTGCAAAGAAATTGCTATCATTAATACAGCAACGGGATATTGGCAACAAAAATTAGTTAATCTACCCGTAGAATTTACAATGCTCAACAAGAGCACACAGTCACAGATCAACTGGACTGTAGACAATTTACATGGAATTCCTTGGGATTTATCTCTTTCTGAAGAGTCATGTCTTGATTATAAACAGTTGGCATCGTTCATCAAAGAACATGTTCAAGGTCAACCAATATTTGAGAAAAGAAACAGTGGTTGGAAAGATTCATCACTAATCCCATCACCGATCTACATGAAATAGGATGGCCAAATCTTGGCAAGCTGAAGGAAATGTTCCAGTACAAACATTGTTATAAACATGTGTATAATAATATGCGTTGTGCTTTAGAAAATGTTCATTTGTTATGTAATTGGAATGTTATATCTAATGCTGTAACATTGCAAACATTGTAATGCATAAAAAATATCACACTACCGCTGTCGTTTCATTTCTTCCCTCGCTCATATGATTATTATCTCATGACATGAAGGATGGTCGTCGTCGTCGTCATCGGTCGCAATTAGGCCAGGCTAGGCTAGCCTAGGCTAGGCGAGGCTCCTCTCATGCATATGTATCTGTACAAATTTCTTACTACCAAGCTGGGCTAGGCGAGAGACTACTCTCATGCATAATTATATATCACGATTAGACTTTTCTCACTCACAACTTCCTCCATTTCTGTGGGTCACATGGTATTAGGCCTTTATGGCATACGTGACGTCATGGGGTGGGTCACGTGGTCTGTCACGTGGTCTTTGGGCCTTTCTGACCTGTTTGGGAGGGGTGGGGTGGCTGAGGCAGGTTGGCAGAGTGAGTTAGAACCGATGTTGTTTAATTACTGTGCAGGTTTAATTAAATTCTCAATATGGTGTGATTTTCAAAGCAGATTACATCTTTATTTGTAATATATATCCAGGTTTTTCAAAAGCAAAATATTTCCTTCAAGTTTCAATATTCAGGCAGAAGCAGGTTGTTTGATTAATTCTGATATGGTAGGTTGGATCTTTGGTATTGAATAGACAAGCCGTAAGTGCTAGGCTACCTAACGTTTGGAAACTGAACATTCTCTTCTAAAATGTAAATATGAAAAACGTTCACTTTACGAAATTAGCGCTGGCTATTTATCCTTCTTGCAACTAATTTCATTAGTTCTGAAAAGTATTTCACCAGTATTCAGTGTAACCACTTTCCGTGTCTATACAAAACTGCAATCTAGTCTACATGCTTCTTACTTTGTAGAGATACTGGTAGGTTCAGCCACTTTAAGCAGAAATCCAAGTATATAGAAGTTTTGCTTTTCCAGAAATCCTCCCAATGCTAATACAAACAATTATGATTCATTAAATTTATTCGTATGTGACTTCCTAGTTTAGTCCGAATTTTAAAGGTGCCGATAAAAGTGATTTGAAGGAGCCACTGTTGTGGTTGATTTCGCGAAAGTAATCGTTTCCAGTAGATTGAGATACTGCTCAACCAGTGGTGTTATCCAGAAAAAGATCTGGGAGGAGGCTCAGGATCCAGGGCCGTGGAGATAGAAAACTGCATAGTAGGGGGGGAACTCGCTTAGTATAGATAGCACACTTCACAGAAGGTATAACATGCTGTAATATGTAGAAGAAGCCTAATGAGCTGTTACGCTTCGGCAAGGAAAACACCGAGGACCCCAAATCCCTCCCTTGAATACGCCGGTGTGCCCATACCAGAATAGTAACAGAGTCTGTGGGCCTAGCTCAAAGAGTTCCGCCGTTCTTTCTAATATCATTGGGTTTGCATCCAACCAGCGACGGCGACGAAGTCAATAAGAAATCAATAAGTCCTTCTTGATTAAATTTACAACTTGATGCATTAATTAAAGAAATTATCCTGTTTTTAGTCATAAAATGCTACCAGACATTTGAGAAAAAAAAATAATATTTTAAATTTCAATAGGCATTGAGAGTAATCCATGTAATTTTTTCTTATGAATGTGGAAGTGGAACAACCAGCGGGTACACTAATGCAGTCGGCGGCGCGGCACCTCAAAGACAAACGCTGTATTTTGTGTTTTTGGCTCACAAAAAGATTGACAGTAGCTAGAAAAAAAGTCGTATTTTTCTATTTGACTCTTACGTTTAGTGGATTTAGCATTTAGAAGGCTGGCTATTATTACCTAAAAATCGCATCCTAAGAAAAAAATTCCGCCTGATTTTTTGTTCATTTTCCTGTTGTGCTTTTTGTCACTGCAAGCAAACTATAGCTAAACTGTTTTCACAAAGCTTTTTGAAAAACTTAGTTAGTGAGACTCCGCTTTGAAATGATATTCCCAACTTGGGGGAATAGGACGGAGGTTTTTTCCAGTGTACTCGTATAGTACAGAAACATTTCCACTGTATACTGGAAATCTATTTTGAATAACAATATGTCATTTTTTCAGACTGCTACGTGGCCTGTATTAGATTTTTATAAGAATGTGTTTATTTATTTGTTACTTTGGTTATGGATTTACACAGAAACTGTTTTTTTTTTTGAGAATTCTAGATTGATTTATTACTTGTTTGTATTTTAAAGGATATTATTTTTGTTTTAAATGCATGGAATTGACTGTTTGTTTTTATTATTTTATACTATACACTATGCACCGGCGGGCCTTCGGCGAACTAGTTCTTTTCTGCCGCTACACCAACGGGCTTTGCTCCTCTGAGCTCTCTTCCATGACGCCGCCGCGCGATGTGCCTGCCAGATAGACCCGCCTAACTTTGACGTCCCATCCTAACCGTCTCGCGCTTCGTTCATCCAGAACTGGGCGATACGACCGCCCCTTTGTCCCGAGAGTTTTGAGACTGTGGAACAATCTACAAGAGGAAGCTTTTCCCAGTTCTACTAACCTTAGTCAGTTCAAAAATCGCATTAACAACATTTCTTTGGGATCATCATAGAAGCCGCGGTGTTTCGGCATTTAGGCTTCTGCCTGCGCGACTGCTTCGATATATAATATAGGTATATATATATACCTATACTCCATAATCATTTCAATTTTTGGCTTGTCTATTGAATACCAAATATATTTAATAATAATAATAATTTATTTATTTTACCTGGCGGATCACATCAGCAAAAGCTGTTTTTCAGAACCAACCAGGGCTAAAATCAGGTACATGCAAGTACAAAGAAAAATACACAAAAGATAATAAGAAAATTTGAAGCAGAAAAAAAAATTTTTTTAGAAATTGTAGCCTATGCATGGTATAATGCCCAAAGAGTACGTAGCAGAATCAAAAACCATGCTTAGAAGTAACTTAAAAAAATAAAAAAATATATTATATTATATGGGGGAAAATATAAAAATTAAAAGTAAACAGCAACAGATTCGTAAACAAAACACAAACAAATGAAAAGTGACAAGTGAGAAAACATGCACAAATAAACAAATATAAAAATAAAATTACATAAAAATACATGCTACATGTCATCAAAGACAAAGAACCTAACTTTTAATAATAATAATAATAATAATAATAATAATAATAATAATAATAATAATAATAATAATAATAATAATAATAATACGCCTTTATTTTACCTGGCGGGTATATCAGCTAATAGCTGCGATTGGTACCAACCAGGGCTACATAAGATTAACATTAACATTAAATGTAGAATCACAGCAGTTACAAGATGAAAGCTTAGTATAAAATTAGGTATTACCGAGAACAAATTTCTTTATATTAACTTTAAAATTATTGTTACTCAAACTTTTCAGATCTGATGGTAGACAATTATAAAGGAAAGGTGCTATGTATGAGAAGCACTTTGTGAATTGTGTTGATTTATGGGGGGGCACATCGAGGGTATAACCTACAAAGCGTAAGTTCGCCGAGTGATGCTGACTTCTGAATGAAAGTTTGCTGCTCAGATATGCTGGATATTTGGTTAAAAACAAGTGTACAATCCATCTCTGACGCATCGTGAGCCAGTTGACATCCTTAATGTCGGAACACCTAATGCATACCTGATACAACTATTTTGCACTTTTTGTATCCTATAAGCTTCCGACTGTGTCAGGCATGGACCATACACCGCATCAGCGTATTCGACTTGCTGAGAATCAAAGAGTTACAAAGCTTGATCTTGGTTTGACTAGATAATACATGTTTATAACTGTAAATTGTCTTGAGCTTAGCATATGAATTTTGCACAACCCTGGAAACGTGATCATGAAACGTGAGATGTTCATCCACTATTACTCCTAAATTTTTCACGGATTTTATATGAGGCAAGTCTTCACCTTCCAGGTGTAATTCTATCAAGTTATTATCGAAATTACTTTGTATGGACTTAATAGTTATGACAGCAGATTTGTTTGAATTGATAAGTAACCCGTGATCGTTATACCACTTTGCAACACGATCTAGATCACAAGACATTCTCCTGTTTGCCTCCAGGAAATCGGAAGGACGGTAAGACAAATACAGTTGGGTATCGTCAGCGTAAGACTGAATAGAACAATATTTAATGTCATGACTTAGATCGAACGTATACAAAGTAAACAAAATTGGGCCAAGTATGGAGCCCTGCGGTACCCCCTTCAAAATCGCACGCTTATCGGACATACGGCCGCCTACATTGACTAGCTGTGACCGCTCATGCAAGTAACTCCTAAACCACGTAACAGTACTATCAGAAAATCCAAGATAATGCAGCTTAGCAAGAAGCAATTCATGATTGATAGAATCGAAAGCTTTGCTGAGATCAACTAGAATTGACGTTGTGACACAAGATTTATCCATAGCTCTGATATAGTCATCACATATGTTTATCAAAGTGGTAACCGTACTGAGACCTTTCCGAAACACCGACTGAACATTTGGAATCAAACTGTTTTTATTTATGTGTCCTAGTATTTGCTCATAGACAATTCTTTCCAGAATTTTAGATAGCAATGGCAGTATACTAATAGGCCTGAAATCACCAGGTGCTATCGGATCATCAATTTTTGTAAGAGGTCCAACCATAGCTGCTTTCCATAGGCTCGGCACGACACCTTTTTCTAGTGAAAAATTTATAATGTGTGTTGATGCATCGATACACTATGGAATTAAGGGAATCAAAAGATCATGATCGTTTAGATTGCGTCCTAACTCCAAATAAACACAAAAAACAGAATAATAATTTGTTTAATTTTCCAATATTATTTTTAATAAATTAAATTAATTATTTACAACTAAAATGCTATTGGATAGTTAGGACAAATATACAAAATCTAAAGTAGTTGCTCGAAATGTAAACCCAATTGTTCAATACACAATTCACATCTACGAAGGATCGAACGTTATTCAAATAAGGCCTTATTTCATCACATGCATTCCTGATTATGTCTATTAGCATATCTCTTGTGGTTATGGGAGTCTGGTACACTTTTTCTTTTAGAAATCCCCACACAAAGAAATCTAATCGATTTACGTCAGGGAATCGTGGAGGCCAGGCGACTGGTCCTCCACGGCCGATCCATCTTTCTGGATAATTTTCGTCCAGCCAGTTTCTAACTATTCTCGAATAATGAGCTGGACAACCATCAAGCTGGAACCAGGCCAATCTTCTTAAATCTAACATAACATCATCCTACATATTTGCATGTCCAGCCTTTACAAATTCCAAGAAGGTCGCAGCATTTAACCTTGCAGGCAAAAGGTAGGGTCTAAATAGTCGATTACGGTAGATACCAATCCACACGTTCACACTAAATTCATGCTGACAATTTCTTTCCCGAACTGCATGCGGATTTTCATGCGACCAAATATGTTGATTATGAAAATTTACCACTCCACGTCTAGTGAAGCATGACTCATCGGCCCATAAAACGTTACTTAAAAACTCCCTACTATTATCAGTTCTATCAAGAATCCACTGACAAAATGTGATTCTTCGTTCTCCGTCCCATGGCTGTAGTCCTTGCACAGGTTGCAAATGGTAAGGACGTCTATGGTCATTTCTAAGAACACGGTGAACATGGCTTGCTGAAATTCCCAAGGCACCAGAAACTCTCTTAACACTTGTGGTCGGATCTCTATCAAACTCACGCAGAATCATACGGGTAAATTTGCGCTGACGAACATTTATGGAGATTTCCAAAACCATTTTCAATTATTTGGCGATGCACTCTTACAAATACTGAGCGAGTTGGATGTCGTCTGTTTGGAAATCTTCGTGCGTATTCTCTGGCTGCTTCTGCTGCGTTTCCATTTACAAACCCATACACAAAATGAATATCCGCTAACTCTTGATTGGAGAATAAAAATGGCATTTTTATAAAACAGGTAAAAGAAACAAAATTTCGTGCATTAACAATTGCAAAAAAACGTTTCAGGTTTCAACAGACAACAAAACTAACTGTCAACTAATTGACGTTTAACCTTATTCTGGCTTCAATTTACAAAAATATTTGCAGGCACAGCCTACTTCTAAAAATTATCGAACCTCAAAAATCGAAATATCTCAAAAACGGCTAACTATAACGAAAATTCACAAGAGAGCTTTTTTATGTTGAAAAGTGCGAAGAATCAGTTTTTGTATTCAAAAAGCAAAAAATTGCACTAATAAAAATTTGTCGGTCATTTTAATACACTACAGGTACAGTGGAGAGCGCCCTCTAGCGGCTACAATAATCGTTTTGTCGTACCAAAAAATCCTTATATACCAATTTTCACTGTTATACATCAAATATTGTTCGAAATATTTAAAAAAAGCTATTTTAGAAAGTAAATTTAAACACCCTGTATTTCGGAAGCTACGCATTTTTCGATCCATGTTTATATAGACTTTATGCATTAATTCTATCGAATCTTAAAGTTATGCAACAATAAACTGAAACACCCTGTATATATACATATCTTAAATCATTAGATTTAGAAATAACTTTTAAAAAAATTTTATTTGAGGACTGAAGCTTCAGTCCATATAAAATACAAAGGTTTACAAATGTGACATTTACAGAGTCTAACCGGGTATTGAACAACAGGATATGGCCGCGGGGCCTATTTATACATTCGGAAAGCTGACTAAGAATTAGTAGAAAACAGCAAAGGCACTATTCTAGCAACGGATTAGCGAGAAGTTGTTATCATATGCTGACACAGCGTCTGGTGCAACATTGTATAATAACTGCGTAGTTACTATGGCCATATAACAACTCCCCCCTATTACAAAAAGTTGTTGCTATGCGACAACTTTTGACAAAAATTGAAAAATGTAAAAATATAAAAAAAAAAATGTCAAAAGTATAAATTTGTAAAAATGTAAAAATTGTAAAATTATAGAAATTGTAAAAGTGTAAAGTGTAAAATTGTAAAATACAAATTGCAAAAGTAAAATCAGAAAATACAGATTCTGAAAAATAAAATTTTTAGCATAAATGCGGTACATTGGCGATGCAAAATAACATCTAAAAGCAAAGCTGGAACAAACAAATCGTACAGTCGTACGGGCAAAATCATATGGAAGATAACACGAAAATTGAAAATGACTTTTTGAACAGTGAAAACACTTCACGGAACACTCACTGCAGTTCGATGTCTTCTTCATGTGGCTGGATGGTTGGTCTACGTCGAGGAAAAAGTCTGGGAATGTACCGGACTTTTGGTGCTCCTGGAGATGGGCCATCGGCTGGATAATTTGATGCGCAGATGCTGAGTGGTCTACGTTTTCTGCACTTACAGAACAGGTACAAAGCTACGATGATAACTAACAGGGTGGTGATGAAATACGTGAACCATGAGATATGTCTCGAAACAAACGGCTCGTTCATAATTTTGTCCAGTTGTTCAGAATATTGGTTTAATTTGTGATTGGCAATTTCGAGTTCTTCAGTATCGATCTGGCTTAGTTTGATCGGTTTTAATTTTGGTAAATTTTGTTTCTCTGGGAGATGTTCACAGCATTTGTAGGGTACTTCTACAGGGTGACTTTTGTATGTGACATTCTTGTAGGTGCTAACAGAATATCTAGAATGTAATCTCGTGGTGCCTACAAAGCCACTGCATTCGGGCTGCATTTTTAAAAGAGAATTAACTTTTATCACTTTGGTGGTAGTCTCTCGTTGTCCACACTTCATCGTAATTGGCAGAGGGCTAGATATGGTGATTAGCCAAAAATTGGTTGCAAGTTCTTGGATTTTGTAATCTTGCAATGCCACAATTGCTATTTGGCAGGCTGTCGGCAGAACGACCGGATTTCGCAACAACTGTGCTTCGCAGACTGTATTACTGTCTATTGGATACGGCAAGAGGTTGAAACAGATTTTCACCTGAGTCTGAAGAACTTTACAACTACCTAAATTTTGAAAGGGAACGTACAAAAGAGAATCGCTATCTTTAGCAACGTATCTCTGTATAGTGGAAACTACATGAAACAAACCAGTATGTTTATCGAGAATGGGTAGAGGAATCACTCTGTATAAAGTATACATTTCGGGCTCTAATAACGGGATGCGTAGGACGAGTTCCATAAGATTAAGGTACTCTGACACAAATTAACCGGAAGGGGTAAATTATTTCACGACAAAGTGTGAGAGATTTCTTGAAGAGAATTTACTAAGTCTTGAGGAGTGATAATATAAGGATGTATTATTTTTAAACGTGCAAAAGTAATTGAATTTAGAATATCATTAATTGTCTCTTCTAGAAACATGTAGCTTTCCATTAATTGTTCGCAAACTTCTAAAAATTGGAATTTAGCTTCATAAAATGCAAGATCGTCTGGAATTTCGTAAATTTTGTTTTCAATAACCTTAATATCTTCATTAGACGTAGTTTCATCAATCATAAGTTTTTGAATAGTGTTATTAAAATTCTTGATAACCGACACGGTAACAGAAATTTGGTTCTTCATGAGGTTTTCGAGCTCATGTTCATCTTTAGAAATTTTGTTAATACAATCGTCCGATGAATCGAGGTTGCCGGTTATTGCATTCCATATGGTACCTATAGCGTTAATCAGACCGCGTTTCATCCCCGATGCGCTTACAGTGTCATCGAAGATCGCGTAATATTTAGATTTCAAGGAACGAGAAATATGATAAAGGAGACTTGTATGAGTTTCAATTTCGCCACTAAATATTTTCATACGATTGGTGGGTTTGTCTACGAGATATGATAAGTGTTCCAGAATATAGTTGTTATCGTCAAGTGCTTTCTTAATGAGTTCTAAGTCTTTATATACAAGGAGTGTCCAAATTTCGTTGGACATCTTAAGAGGGGCGTCTTCATGAAAATAGATACGTAAGGTGTTGTTAATCGGATTGATGTCTATCTGGGCTGTGGCAGCCGCAAGAAACAGCAGACTGCACCTGAAAGAGAAACTAAGTCTCAAAACATGGTTTCAGTCTGTCAAAATTAAGCGCGGAATTTTCAAAAACTTGAGTAATTTCGAATGGACCATCAAATTTGTTCTGAAGCTTGTTTGAAATTTGAGACTGTTTCACAAAGACTTTATCGCCAACTTTATATGATTGTAAATTGGGTGACACTCTACTATCAAAGCGAATTTTTGCTTTTTGCTTCTGTTCGTCAGTTCTCACGCGGGCAATTTTGTAGTGTAATATTCGAGTTTATTCCGAATGTCTCGAACATACTTGGACATCAATTCTTTTTCTAATGCTGGCAGTACACGCTCGTCGAAGCCATCCGAATGCGAGACTCCCCGATGCGAGGCGGCCCGAGGCACGAGGCCCGAGGACACCGTGTATACTCTCGCAGTAAACATCGAACCGGCTCCTTGTGTAGATTCGTGCGAGTGATGGCCAAGAACGTGGAAATTTGTGTAGCTGTAGCCTATGCTGCTTATTGTTACTATAAATATTTGCATATTATATCAACTTCAAAAATCAAGAAGCCTTGGAAGAAAAGAAGATGGTGGGTGAAATCAATCAATCGAAATAGAACGAGGTAGGTATATACTGACATTATTACGTAATTTGATTAGATTTTATAAAGTGTTTTGTGTTTGATTTGATTTTTTATTTTCGTATAGGGAACACATGGACAGACAATTGAGCGAATTGTTAATGGAACCTGGTGGTGAATTTTAAAATTTTACTCGAATGTCTCTAGCTGATTTTGAGTATCTTTTAAATATAGTCTCACCAATGATTTCCAAAAAAGATACTTCAATGAGACAGGCAATAACTCCAAAAATACGGCTAGCAATTACTTTGAGATATTTAGCCACAGGCGACAGTTTCAAGAGCCTACATTATTTATTTAAAGTTTCAAGTGAAATAATATCGCGGATTATTCCGGAGGTCTGTGCAGCACTGAATGAGGCTTTGAAAGATGAAATTAAGGTAAATAGATTCATTTGCATTTATAGAGCTACAGTTTTATTATAAAATGTTTACATCTACATGTTGAAATGAGTAGTTTTCGAGTTGGTGTCTGTTTTCCCTCCAAAGGTCATATACAGTGCTTGGCTGATAGGATCAGATTCCTGTATGTGTTCTTCCATTTGGTCCTGGGCATGCTCGTTGATACCCTGTGATGAAGCATAGGAACAGTTATTGCTGTTTGCAGATGTAGGTCGAGAATACGATAAGGAAATTAGCGATGAGTTCGAAGGTGGTCCATTGGAACAGGATGGCGTGGCGACAGAACCATGAGATGGATGCATTGCCCTGAGGACCATTTCGTTAATATCATGCATCAAGTATTCTCTTTGAAATTCCGGAATTTTTCGTAGTTTTTTCGCCAACATTCTACCGTATAAATCGCACTCGTCTTCTTTTTCATCATTTCTGGACACAACATTCTTCACCCATGAGAAGGCTTCCTTCATTTCACTTTCTGCTTGAAGCAATTCCGTAGGAACTTGGCGACAACGATATCTTTGCTGAGAGATTGGTAAGGGTGTTGGTCGGTGAGGTTTGGCTACAAGTGCTGCTTGCTGAGACTTAGCTGAGGGTACAACATTCACTACTTCATTGATTTCTGATTCTGATTCTTGAGATGTGAGCTCGAGGGTTTCGTTATCAAGAGAAATCTGAAAAATAAATACATTTTATTACATATTAACAATATTAACAATAAATGTAATTTCTTATCTTTTTGCAGATGCCGTCAACTACAGTTGAGTGGATAGAAATTGAAAAAGGATTTAGAGATAATTTTCCCCACGCCATTGGAGCAATCGACGGAAAACATGTTCTAATCAAATGTCCTGATCACACTGGATCAGAATATTACAATTACAAAAGAACCTTTAGTATTGTTCTTCTAGCTGTAGTAGACAGTAAATATCGATTTATATTTTGTGACATTGGAAGCCAAGGAAGAATCAGTGATGGCATACTTAGAAATAGTGTGTTATGGAAAAATATTTGTGAAAATAAGATGAATTTTCCTCCACCTTGCCCCTTACCCGGATTAAACGTTGATTTACCATATGTTTTCTTGGGAGATGGTGGTTTTGCATTAAGCGAGAACTTAATGAAGCCATATCCTGGCGATCATAAATTGAATACTCCCAAACGTATTTTCAATGAAACATTGTCAAGGTCTCGTGTATTGTCTGAAAATACTTTTGGAATATTAACTCTCAGATTCCGATTTTTCAAAAAGCCAATCGAATTGATGCCCGAAAAAGTGACGCAGTTAACAATGACATGTGTACTTCTACACAATTTTCTTATGAAAAGTTCTAGTTCAAAAAACATTTATAACCCGTCGGCCACTCTTGATAAATATGATAACGGCGTTTTTATTGAAGGGGCTTGGAGGCAAGAAGTACCTCAAAACTGTGCTATTCGATGTGTATCACATATTGCTCGTCGATCACCGATTAGTGCGACTAAGATTAGAGATAATTTCACTGAATATTTTGTGAATTTAAAAAACAAATAAAATATTGTATGACAAGTAATAAGTAATAGTTATTTTATTGAATGTACTTACCGTGTCTTGACTGTTTATGGTAGGGTGGCAGTCATATATTTGACCAAGAAAAGTTTCCATAAAGCTGTATGCAAACCATATAGGCTTGTAAATATCATCGCCCCCAGCACCGCTCCTAATGGACGCATTTTTCCTTCTTAAGTGACCCCGGAAGGTGGCCATTGAAGAATCTTTTTTCTTCTTTAATTCTGCCACAGATTTGCCTGTAGATTCAGAGATTCGATTCCAGGCGTCAGCTAATTTCTCCTTTCTTTTATGATTTTCGTCAGAGGGATCCCACAAACAAGGTTCGCTCTGATAAAATTCCAAAAACTTGATAGTAAAATCATTTGTCCACTCCATTTTAAAAATAAACAATGTCAACCAATATAGCCGCAAACGAAAACTAATCACGCCACAAATTCCACTGTTCAACAAGAGACCAGCGTGTGCCGAGGTCGCCCGAATATACCATGTCCACGCTCGCGAGACCTCCCACTTACGCTCTCGGTTCCTTTGACTCGCACTGGGAGACCGCTTCTACACCGAGCGCTCCGAGGGCGAGGCGAGAGGGTCTAGGGCGAGGCGGGAATAGTAAGTACACTCTCGCGCTCGTCTCATCTCGGATAGCCTCGGCGAGCGTGTACTGCCGGCATAAATATACGTGTTCGGGCGGACGACCAGAGGTGTGGCCAAACACGAGCTCGTATGGTAGTTTTATTTCTAGTGCTATTGTAGCATCGAACAGCATGGGGAAGAATATTGAAGGGATGTTCGTCGGGATTTTCGGATACATGGTATCTGATCATTTCCAATAAAGTGGCGTAAAATCGCTCAATCGAGCCATTGGACTGGGGATGACTGACACTAGAAAAAGTTAATTTAATGGCATAAAGACTACAAAGGTATTTCATGGGGGCGTTGTCAAATTCTTTTCCGTAATCACAGTGCATTCGGAGAGGTGTACCATAATGTTGGAAATATAAAAGTAGAGTTTTGTTAGCTCGTCTCGGATTGTGAGAGCGTAGCATTTAGGTGGGACTTCCAAAATGTCAATGTTGATGTCGATGAATGTTTTTCTTACCACAGTGGTATTGATCTAAAATGACGGGGATTTCATCGGGACTAGGAGTTTTGGTGACGTGTTGACGACAAGTTTGATATTATCATCCGAAAAAATAAAAGAGAACATTTCTAAAATGGGTAAGTCCAGATTATTTTCAACGTAAATTTGTTGGGACAGGTCGTATACACCTTTGTTGGTTAAAATTACAGAGAAAAGATGCTGTATGTAAGTTACGGGATCGCATGGCACAGGAATAATATAGTATTTTCTATCTTTAATTGTTTTGCTAGACGCGATGTTAATTTTATCTGCAGAAAAATCAAGATTTTCCTCGAATATGTTTTCGATAATTTTTTCGTGAAGATCAGATAGAGTGTTTTGTCTGAAAAACGTGACGATATGTTTATGACTTTTGTCTAGGAGTTGGGAATTTGAAAATTGGATTTTGGAATAATCGATCAGGGATATGGTTTTGTAAAGGCGGGCAAAAATATCAAATTCACCTTCGGAAAATTGGGTAGAAGGTTCTCCTTCTTCGTCACTATGGGTAAGGGCGTTAACAGTTTTGGGTAATTTGATACGTGATAGGGCATCGGCATTTTTATTAGCCTTGCCTGGCTTGTACACTATTTCATAGTCGTACTCCTCTAGCTTGAGGCGCCATCTTGCTAATCTTCATTCCGGTGTCTCGGCAAGAGAAAAGCCACGTAAGGGGTCTATGGTCTGTTACAAGTTTAAACTTTCGACCATACAAATAAGCTCTAAAATGTTTTACACTCCAGACAATAGCTAGAAGTCTCTTTCAATGGTGGAATATCTCGTTTCTGCTTTACAGAGTGTACGAGATGCATAGGCTATCGGGAGATCTTTACCTATGGGACCTTGGGAAAGAACGCCAGATATGGCAAAAGCGCTTGCGTCTGTTGTAAGCACAAAAGGCTCTTCAAAGTTGGGGTAGATCAGTATAGGAGATGTTGTTAAAGCATTTCTTAAAGTATCAAATGACTTAACACACTCGCTATCAAAGTCAAATACTGCGTCTTTCTGTAATAGTCTGGTAAGGGGTTTCGCAATTTTGGCAAAGTTTGGTATAAAGCGTCGGTAGTAACCTGCAAGACCTAAGAAAGATTTTATTTCTTTAGGATTCTTGGGCTGAGGGAAATTTTTTATGCAATCCACTTTATCTGGATTGGGCTTAACGCCTTCGGGGGTTAAGGGGTTATTACATGACCAAGATAGGCTACTTCCTTTCTGAGGAATTCGCACTTATCAGGCTGGATTTTGAAATTCGACTTCCGAAGATGTTTAAAAATTTCGGTAAGCCTACTGATGTGTTCTTGGATGGAGGGGGAATAGACAATTATGTCATCCATGTATACAAGACATCTTTCGTTTTGTATACCCATCAAGATGTTGTCCATGACACGTTGAAACGTAGCAGGAGCGTTCTTGAGACCAAAAGGCATCCTCAAGAATTGGTAATGTCCGTTTTCAACTGAAAATGCAGTTTTAGGAACATCAACTGGATTTATCTCGATTTGATGAAATCCAGATGCCAAGTCCAGTGTACTAAAGTACTGGCATTTCCCTAATTGATCAAGTAGATCGGAAATGTTTGGCAGGGGATATTTATCATCGATGGTGATTTCGTTCAGCTTACGATAGTCAATCACCATACGCCATTTCTGTTTACCAGAGGCGTCCATTTTCTTTGGTACAACCCACACCGCAGAATTCCGTGGCGATGTGCTAGGTTCGATAATACCTTGTTTTAGGAATTTTGGAATTTGATCTTTGACTTCTTGCTTGTGGACATAAGGGTATCGGTAGGATTTGGTAAAAATTGGTTTACTGGTAGTGGTATCAATGGAATGCTTAATTTCGTTTGTAAATGACAGGTTATCACCATCTGAATAGAATATGTGCGAAAAATCTAAACAAAGATTCGTAATTAATTCTTTTTTTCCTCGTTGATATGATCGAGACGTAATTGATCTCTAATAACATCTCTACGGTTATACTGACTTTGATTTTGTAAAGAAGTGTTGAAATTATCGATAGAAGTTTCGTTAAAGGGCTCGAAAGTTAATTGGGGTAAAATTACATTTTTTGGAATGGCATTACAGTTAAATACTGTAGTAAGGAATTCGCCTTTAGAATCAATTTTAACTATGGAACTGGGTAGACGGACTTTTTCTACCTCACACGCCAGAAGAATGGCTTCAGTATTTGTAAGCTCGGATTTGAGCTGGACAACTTGTTCAACTCTGGTAGGGATGGAAATAACATTTTGAACTTGAGAATTTTCTTTAAATTGCGAAGCTTGGGACTTTTTTTTAAATTGAGAAGCTTTGGAATTATTTTTGTCACCTACTTTGAGAAGAGGGACTGTTTTGAAATTTGTAATCAATTGACGATTTTTCAAATCAATAATACAATCATACCCAAGAAGGCCATCGAATGAAATATCTAGATCATGGACATACATTTTGTGATAATCAACGGGGTGAATTGTCGACGGGACTATAAACGGAGGATTTATATGAACATTTGATCGCGTGTGTTGCTGACGCTCGCACACGGTTTCGCGTTCGCGTCCTCGACACTGAGATTCGCTAAGGCCGAAAACATAGTGGAGCGTCGAGCTAGGAGTCAAGCGGCGATTCAAGCAGAGCGTTTTTTGATCAAAGATGCAAGCAGCGCTTCACAATCGTATAGTGGAGCGTCGAACTCCGATGCCAAACTGCTATAGTATCAAAAATGTTGTCGGACAGTGAAGACGAGTTTTTGTTTGAAAACAGTGTATTGAAAATGTTACAATTATCAGGCACAACTAGGAATTATGCTGTACATCCGGTGAATAAGGAACGACACAGATTGGGTGAATACCACCACTTATTTCCCCAACTGAAGAAATATCCAGACCGTTTTTTTCAATACATTCGAATGGATTACACTACTTTTAAATACATTCTGAATCTCTTAAGTCCTCATATGGCAACGAAATACACTAATTTCGTTCAACAACCAATAGAACCTGCAGAGAAGCTAGTGATAACATTAAGGTAAGAAACCATTTTTCAACAAACAAAACTTCAGTTTACAGCACTTGAAGTAATGCAAAAACTTGATTAGGGCCAAGTCAACTTTGATTATGGTAGAGTGTAGTATAGTACGGAATAAGAGAAAGGTTAAGCCAAAAATCAATTTTGGTGCAAAAAAGTAGTACAAATGAATTAAGCAAAAATTTTAGGATTGTTATTTGTCAGTAATCTCAATTTGTGCAGTGATGTAGATAATTCAACCACAAAAATAAACCAATATCACAGTTAATATTTCATGCACATGCACACATCCAAACACATATGCCTACTGTACATTTGTATATTCGTTGGATAAATATTCAGGTATTAGCTGGTTTATCTAATCCACTTTACAATATTTAATGAGCAACATTGTGTTGAGATAAATAAGGGTTATTTAACACTAGTTTCATTTTAGTTGCAGAAAGTTTGAGAAAATAATTGGTCATTCGAGTTTAATTTATATAAAAGTATTTATTACTAGACTTTTCAAACATTACAAGTAGCTTTTTACTTCACTTTGGCATCTATGAAAACATCTGTTTTATGGAGAATAATTATCAGTGGGTTTCCAAGAATCCAAATCCAAGACACAACTACTATCCTCTTCTATTGGTAACGACGTAGAAGTTTCAGAGTGATACACAGATCGACTTACAGATGATTGAGCATGGAGATTGGTGCCAACAGATTATACAGAATGCTGATTTGTGTTAGTTGGATACGCATATTGTATTACTAAATTGTGAACTTCATTTCTAAAACGTAATTTATCCACACCACTAATACGTTTTATGTGGGGAAGAAGGATTTCAAAAAATTGCATATCTTCATCGGGTTTTTCGATAGCTGCAGACCTACTTGCTCGTTTTTCTTCTAGTATAGCCAATTTTTTTTCTTCAATTTGGACTAACTTTTTCAAATTGTCGTTTTTTATAGCACTTTTCTTGAAGATGTTGGGAACTAAGTCCTCATTTATATACCTATCAGTACTGGCTGACCGGGAAGTGTTACTTGAATCACCATGCGCAATAATAACTTCTGTATCGTCTGGTGGCTGATTAGGTACATAGGATTCCTCAATTTGACTATTTTCTAAATCAAAATTTTCGTCGCCTGCAATAGGAATGCCTTCAGTATCAGCTACTGAGTCCATACATGTGTTAGATTTGATTTTCTTTTTTAAGTTTCCTGAAGTAGGTCTCGTCTTGAACTGAGTTCTTAAAAAATCCAACAACATAAAATAGGGCCAATTAGAGTTGTAAATGGTGTCAGCACTGGATCCCCCCGCTCCTCTTGCGTTTTACGAATTTCTTTTCTGTAGTAGTCTCTCAGAGACTTCCACTTCTGTTGTGCATCTTTCACTAAAACATGAAAATTGTATTACAATGCGTATACGGAATATATCATTACATGTGTAAGAAAAACTTGAAAACTTTGTTAGATCTACTAAACCATCATGATTCCTACTTTGTCTGATATTTGGCCTTTATTTTAATAGTCTACGTTTCATAATTTTGTAGGTCTAAACAATGTTCCGTAACTTTGTTACACATTGTCTGAAACCTATTCATATTAGGAAAAGTGTACAAATGACAAATCATCGCCTTTTCTGTATTTTATCTAAGAGTTACAAACATTTTTTTATTTAAAAAATTGCGGAAATTTTTTTGTATATTGCTATTTTTTAATAAAATCAGTTCTTGTTAAATTATTAATCCTAGCAACTTTTTAAGTCCATGGCCTTTTCGATATTAATTTCATGTTTGATTCTCCAGGTACTTTGCAACAGGAGCTTCATTCAGAAGCATGTCCTTTGCCTTTAGAGTTGGGGCGTCAACAGTCAGCAAGATTGTAAGAGAAACAGCTTGTATAATGTGGGATGTATTGCAGCCTATACACATGCCTACTCCAACGAAAGAAACCTTCGTCCAGGCAAGCTCTGAGTTTCAAGAGTTATGGAACTTTCCCAATTGTATAGGCTGCATAGATGGCAAGCACGTGCGTATAATGTGCCCACCACACTCAGGTACATTGTTTTTCAACTACAAAAAATACTATTCGATAGTTTTACTAGCAATATGTGATGCCAAATACAGATTCCTTGTCATCGATGTTGGAGGATTTGGGAAACAGAGTGACGGAGCTACATTCAATTCATCTGAGTTATACCACTTGTTAAAGAGCAAAAAAATCAATATCCCGGCTAATGCTTGTTTGCCTGGAACTGATGTAAACATGCCTTTTGTTTTTCTAGCCGATGAGGCATTCCCCTTATCAGCGCATGTACTCACACCTTATAGCTCAGAAAATCTAAATGTAGAAAAATGCATTTTTAATAAAAGACACTTCAGGGTTCGTAAAAGTATTGAATGCACGTTTGGCATTCTCAGCTCGAAATGGCGATTACTGTCAAAATGTATTGAAACAAGTCATGAGACAGCGGATTATTTAATTAAGGCTGTTTGTATTCTACAAAACACCATAATTGATAAGGAGGGCTTTGAGAGACATCTGACAGAAGTCGAAACTGATCAACCAAAGAACATTCAAGTTCCAAGAAGACCACGCCAAAGAGGTCGCCAGTCATCTGACGCTCTTCATACTCGGGACACTTTTACAATTTATTTTAAAGAAAATCCTATCCATTTTCCAAAATATTAAATACAATTGTGTCTTTTATATTATTACTTGTAGCAGTTATTAAGGGGAAATGAGTTAATGCATAATGCACTGAAATAAAATGAAGTATTTACAAAATAAAAGGCAATTGATTCTGTTATATTTGTAACATGATTAGATACGTACCTGAACAGTTATTTTCCTGTCCCACCTCCTTCCACAGCTTGTCAAGGAGCCAGTTGCTGGTTCCAAATGGACTCACGAGCCCGTATTGATAAAATAAAAGATTCTACGTCCATTTTTTAGGTTATGTACCACGCACTATCAATTATGAAACTCGGGAGTCAACTCAGGCAGCGCTTCAAAAGAAATCGTTGGTGAATTCCCGAGCAGCGAGTCAAGATTCATGTCGATGCGTGAAGCGCTGCTAGCCGCGTTACTATGTGCTGGTCAACGTAAAGGTGCAATTTCGTTGCGACGTCCCGCCGCCGCGGTCGACCGCAACTGCTAGCCGTTGCGGCTGACCGTTGCGGCCAAGCGATTTCGTTGCAGCGTCTAAATTTCGGCAGTCAGGGGTCGTGCTCTAAATTGTGAACATGGATTCAAAAAATCTCGCCAAAATAATTTTACTTGAGGACGAAGCAGAAGATGAAGAAGTGATATTATGGTGGTCTAGTCAACGAGAAGATTTTGACAGATTGTACCAATCTCGCAAGGAAGAGGGATATTTTAAAATTCTAATGAAGAATCACCTGGATACAAACGAACAAAAATTTCGTGAATTTTTTCGTTTAAATAAGGAACAGTTCCAGTTTGTTCTGAATATAGTATCGACAGATTTAAAGAAAAAATCCACAAATACCGTTCACGACCCTATATCTCCGGAAGAAAAGTTGGCATTGGCGTTAAGGTAAGAAAAAACAAAGTTTTAAAGACTTTATATTATTAAGAAACTCCAAACGCTTAAACAATGAACATGAAAAATAAACGTTACTGGTTAGTCCAGCCGTATCTAATATTTTCCAAACTGTACTGCATATCAGATGAATTATATACAGATACGGACGTTAATGGTGTTAATACTACATTTTCCTGAGAACTTGGAGTGCTGGAAACAGTTGAAACCGACGTTAAAGGCGCTAATAAATTCTGTTGTGATCTTGAAGTACAGGTACGTGTTGGTTCGTTCGTATGTAATTCCGGTGACGCCTGTAATTCGGTAACTAATGTCAAAATTCCCAGTTTAGCTTTCGCTATTTGATGAGGAGGCAATTTTTTAACAGTCATCGCTATACTTTTGAAAAATAAATCAATCTCATCATCTTCGGGTTTTTGGGTTAAAGCAGACAACATTTGCATCCTTTGTTTGGATCTTTCTTCAACATTCTCCAAAAAGAGATTTTTGCGTTGGCTTCGTTTTGAAGAAGTTGAACCTGCATAGCTGTCTGGGGTACTAGAACGTGATTTGTCGATGGCATTCTGACGCAGTTTTTTCTCCTGCCTCGGATAATCGGAAGGTGGCGGTGAAGACAGGTCATCATCAACTAGTGCATTATCCACATCGAGAGAAGTGTCCACCTCTTCTTCACTAAGTTCCCTATCTATATTTTCCTCAATGCCGGTGGCAGCTTCATTGACATTACTGATGGTTCTAAAATTAACGCCCATTTCGGCGGTTTCGCTGATGCTGCACTCCCTGTTCCTATCTTTTGCTTCCTTTTGTGTTTAAGAAAGTTATCTCGAATGTTTTTCCATCGAGATTTGCATTCATCAGCTGGAAACAGAAATTTGTGAATTTGTGAAAATGTTTGCGTATACATTTCTTTTTCAGGTTTTTAGCCACCGGAGAGACCTTCAAGTCACTCTCGTTTGCTTTCCGTATTTCACCGAGCTACATCTCCGTACTTATTCAAGAAACATTAGAAGTACTCAGTAAACATTTGGTCCCAATATTTTTGCCCCCACCAAATGCAACCGATTTGAAGAAAAATGCAACGGAATTTTGGAGCAAATGGAATTTTCCCAACTGTGTTGGTGCTGTTGACGGAAAACATATTCGAATTTTTTGTCCACAAAAAAGCGGTTCACTATTTTTTAATTATAAAGAATATTTTTCTATGGTCTTGCTTGGAGTAGTAGATGCAAATTGTAAATTTGTATTTGTTGACGTCGGCGCGTATGGAAAGGAAGGGGATAGTAGCATATTTATGAAATCTGACATGGGAAAACAAATATATTCTGGTCAGTTATTTGAACCAGGTGTAAATCTTCCAGGTTCAAATAGACTATTGCCATACGTTATTGTCGGTGATGAAGCGTTCCGATTACATCCCCATGTGATGAAACCGTATAGCAAACAAGCGGCTAAAGGCGATAAAGAGAAAACTGTTTTCAATTATAGATTGATTAGAGCCAGAAGAGTGTCTGAAAATGCCTTTGGATTGTTGTGTCAGATTTTTCGAATTTACTACACTCCGATTGCCATTAAGCCAGAAACGTGTGATAAACTCATACTTGTAACTTGTTGCTTGCACAATCTTCTGAGAGATGCATTTTTGGAAAAAAATAATCAGCCTTATTACAACTACGATGTAAGTTTGAATCTACCAGATAATATAACCCCGTTGAGAAATGCTGGAGGATTTGCAAATGCGGATGGTTTTGCAATAAGAGACGAATTCGCGAATTTTTTCGTCCAAGAAGGGGCTTTAAATTGGCAGGACGACCGCATATTTAGACTAAGCAGTTAATTTTTTATGTTACAATTCACTATATTGTTGGTAGAAGCACACTGTGTACAATTTTAAACTGTACTGTAGGTTGTGTACACTTGAAATTAATAAAAAATAGCATATAGGTACTTACGACGTTTTCCTAACGCTGAAGCGATGTCATTCCAACAATTTTCACGGATCTGAAAATCTTTAAAGTCTTTGTGCTCGTGATCATACAAGCACGGATATTGCTCCACCGTGCGTATTAAAATCTCATCTGCAGAAGCCAATTCTCTTTTTCGGGACATTTTTGAAACCAAAATGATCGGCGGCCGCGTCTGGACTGCTCCTTGTAGCAGTCAAGGCGCAGCCGTCGACGGCTGAACGCCTAGCCGACAGGTCGAGACGTGTCAACGAAAATGCGTCGATTTGAAAACACTGATATCAGTGCATTGCGGCGGGCAGTTGCGGTCGACCGCGGCGGCGGGACGTCGCAACGAAATTGCACCTTAACTATACGGCGGATTTAATGAAGCGCTGCTTGACTCGCCGCTTGACTCCTAGCTCGACGCTCCACTATGTTTTCGGCCTAAGACGCTAAGTTCGCACATACTATCGCGGTACTGTCGTTGGGTTCCGCAGGGGGTTTCTCTTTCAAACACTTGGTCTGAAAATCCTGGAATTGGTTTGATTATATTCGTAGCAAAAATCGTTACTGGGTACTCTAAAATCATCGTATGGGGAAGGTATGTAGGCGGAGTGTTGGGTATCGTCATATTCATTAGCGTAGTCCGTGTTGTATAGGTCTGGTTCACCGTAGTCGGAATAATCGTAAGAATCATGAGCGACATAATTAATTCGATTGGGAGGATTTTGTCTAAAATTTCTTTGAAAATTAGGGTTTTGGAAATTTGGATTGCTCTGAATTACAGAGGGTCTTGGCGCACTCGCGTTAGGCACATTTGGTCGTATTACAGATGGTCTGGGAGGATATTGATTAGAATTTTGATGGTAGTTAGATGTAGATGGTCTAACTTGCATAGGTTGATTCGGCCTAGGGTAATTTTGAGGCTGGGGCTGGTTAGACTGTCTCGGGGAAAAACTTGTAGACTGTTGTCTCCGTTGGCATTCATTTGCCAAGTGACTGGGACGATTACAAAAATTACAAATTTTAGGGTTTGGTCTTCGATTAACAGAATTTTGATTCGGGTTTGGGGCCCTGGCGAATTTTTGTCGTTCCAAATATGAGAGTTGTACCTCTCGTTTGATATAAGAAACTGCGGTCAAGATATCCGTGGGATGTCCTGATCGCACAACAGGTCCTATTTTTGAGTCTAATCCTGTTAATAGACAATTTAAAGTCATCGTTTCGATGAGGGAACTTTGAGCAGATTTTTGCTCGCGATATAGATTTTGCCTATTCACGGCGGAATGCATTTTAGCTGCATGCGTCTGCAGTCTAGATGCAAAGGTTAGGGGTGATTCGTTGGGGAGTTGGCGCATGTGTTGAAGATCCGTGATTAAAGATGTGAGATCTCTAAGATCTCCAAAGTGCGTTTCTAACAGGGACCATATGTCTTCCCACGTGGAAGGGTTTCGGCTGTTCACAAGTTCGGCGGCACGTCCGCGAAGTTTGTTTTTAATATGTATGTAGGGCTATTTGTTGTTTGTCTAGGGGTTTAGGGGTTGGAAATCACGAGTCCGTGGATACAGATGAATGATGGCCGTCTATTGATTAAATACACGATATTGAATGAGTGTATATAACGCCGTCTGCGTCTAAGTTCACGTCTTTTCTGTGTGTCTTTCTTGATCGGCGGCTGAGTACAGACTGCCCGTTGTCAGCCGTCAAAACGTGAGGCGCTTGCGCGGTTGGCTTCTCGATTGTTCTAGAAGGCTTTCTAGTTCAGTGGCGTAGGCAGCGCAAAGGCGTCGTCAATCAAGGGTCAAGGGTTACGTATTGACGCAAAATAAAAATGATAAAATAACCTTATCCTACATTCGGCTATTCCTGACTAGCAATCCGCCTCGGATTCGCTATGTTCAGGTTCAATCCACACCTTCATGTACTCAGCACAGGTTGACGTCCTCATTGGTCCTTCGTGGTTACCAATTTTAACTACGTCGTATCGATCTGGATACTTGACCTGTGTGATCTCGTACGGTCCAAGATACTTCCTATGTAACTTAAGACCTCCTCCAAATTGGCTACGTTTTATAGCAACTAGGTCTCCTTTCTGGTATTCTCGTGCTTTCCTTCTTCTTAGATTATACCTTTTCCTATTCTCTTTCTGAACCTTGAGTATATTTTTCTTCGCTTCTGCTCTCAATTCTTCTCGCTTTTCACAAAACTGTTCAGTCATTTCAGTTTCGATTGCTTCCAAAATTCTCGTATCTTCTTTAGTCCTCATCTTGGTTCCTATCAGTATCTCAAACGGAGTAGTACCGATACTTCTTTGATATGTCGAATTTAACACCATCTGCAATTTTTCAACTTCTTGATACCATTTCATCGGGTCTTCGATACTCAACTTCGTCAAAACAGGGATTATACTTCTATTTATCCGTTCGACTTGTCCATTTCCTCGGGGTATTCCTGTAGTAATTTTGACGTGCTCGATATTCTCTTCTCGGCAATAAAATTCAAATTCTTTGGACGTAAAAGCCGTTCCTCTATCTGAGATTATCCTTAAAGGGTTGCCAAAGACCTTCTGTTGTTTCTTCAGGCAATCTATGGTCTCCTTTGACGTCGTGGATCTAGTCGGGTATATCCAGACAAACTTGGAAAAATCATCAATTACGATCAACAAATGTTGGTACCTTTTCTTGGTGGATGGTAACGGTCCTAGGTGGTCAATATGATACGTGTGCAATGGTCCATGTTGCTTGTCAATGGGATGCAGAAAGCCTTCCTGCTTACCTTCTTTCTTGCTTCCCAGTATGCATGGTATGCAGTTTCTGATACAAGCTTCTATCTTCTCTTTCAACTTTGATATGAAGTATTCGTTCTTCAACAGCTCTTCTGTCTTTTTCACAGAAAAATGTCCTTTCTCGTGAGCTTTCTTGATTAGCTCTGTTTGCATCGCTTTCGCTACAACTAGGAGTTCTTTGCCTTTGTCATACTTGTACATAATGTCATGTTTCAGCAAGTAACCTTCATAATCTTTTTCCTTGGCTAGGACTATCTTTATTGTCTTCAAATTTTCATCTTTTGCTTGAGCTAGTCTTATCCTATTCACTATTCCTTCGTCTTCAGTGATCGTCATTACCACTGGATATCGGCTAAGAGCGTCTACGTGTGGCATTCTGTCTCCTCTTCTATGTTCTATGGTGTAGTCATACTCTTCTAACAACAAAGCCCATCTTGCTACTCGTGTTGTCAAATCTTTCTTATTCATTGTCTTTCGAAAAGCGGAACAATCTGTAACAATCTTGAATGTTACACCTAATAGGTAAATCCTAAACTTCTTGACCGCCTGAATAACAGCCAAAACCTCAAGTTCATAACTGCTATACTTTTCTTCAGCTGGTGTCGTCTTTTTGCTCATGTAGTATATAGGGTGAAACTTCTGGTCTTCACTACATTTTTGCATTAAGCATGCTCCATATCCAAATTTACTGGCATCGGTATGCAATTCTATTTCACAACCTTGCTGGTAAATATGTAGCACTGGTTCCGTCATCAACAACTTCTTTAACAGGTCAAAAGCATGTCGTTGTTCATCCTCAAATCTGAAGGGTTGATTCTTCTTCAACAGATCACTTAATGGTCTAGCGATAGCTTCGTAACCGCATATGAATTTTCTGAAGTATCCCGTCAATCCTAAAAATGATTGGATCTGTCTATGCGTCTTAGGCTCTGGAAACTTCCTGATAGCTCGAGTCTTTTCTTTGGATGGTTGAACTTTCCCATCTTCTACGATGAACCCTAAAAATTCTACCCTTTTCTTCAACAGTTGACACTTTTCCTTTTTAATTTCCAAACCGTAGTCTCTTGCAACTTCTAATACCGACTTTAATTTTTCAATGCCTTCTCTCTCGTCAATGCTAGGAACAATAATATCATCCATATAATAAACACAAATGTTTTTGTTCACTAGTGGCCGAAAAATGTGACAAACAAATCTCTGAAATACTGCCGCACTGTTACATAATCCGAACGGACATCTTAAGAATTCTTATTGTCCATTATGGGTGACGAAACTCGTGTACTTCCTACTGGCTTCTTCTACAGCTACATGAAAGAATCCATTCTTCAAATCGATCGTACTGAATACTTTAGCTCCTTGCAAGTTATCTAGGACGTCTTCTATCACGGGCAATGGAAATCTGTCTTTAATGACTTTCCTGTTCAACTTCCGATAGTCGCAGCAAATTCGTGTTCTTCCATCTTTTTTCTTTACTAACACCAAATTACTTGAAAAATCTGATGAGCTCGGTCTTATTATTTCTTCTTTGAACCATTGGTCTACCTGCCTTTCTACTTCTTCCTTCTCCGATGTGGCCATTCTTCTTGGTGTTTCATACACTGGTTCTTCGTCTTTCAGAACAATCTTCATTTCTATGTCTGTGGTCTTCGTCTTCTCTGGTTGGTAGTTCTGTAAGAGTTCTTCAGCTTCCTTTTTGATTGCTGAATCTCTGATATGCGTCGTGTCTACCTCAAAGTCAGTAGAGTAGTTGTTGAGCGTCATCTTCATCAAAAATGTTGTCTTCGCCTTCTTATAAACAACTATTCCGTCGTCGCTAATGCCGATATCTGCATGCTCTGATAGGTTATTTCCAATGATGACCTTAAAACTTGATGTGTCTGTCGGAATAACGTGGAATGTCAACGCGAATTCTTCTCCGTGTATCAGGACATTGGTATAGAATAATCCCAAAGTTTCAACTCTATTGTTACCTAATCCTTTAATCACAATTGTCTCCTTCACTAAGGGAATGTTTTGGAAGAAATCTTCATACGTGTCACGTCGCATGGTATTGATGTCACTTCCTGTGTCCAACATTGCCTTCATTCTGATTCTTTTAACCTCCACATTCAGCAAATTCTTTCCAGAGGCACGTTCTATTGTATTAACCGTCGCCATAGTGCCTGAAGGTCTCTCTTCATTGCCAGATTCCCTCATCATACATCTTGTTGCTAGATGTCCAAAGTTTCCACATCTGAAGCACTTTGCTCCTTTATCCTTGTTAGGACAAGCTGCTGATTTGTGTCCCTTGGAACCACAATTGAAACAAACGAGCGCCTTTCGTCTCTCGGGATTTGTCTCAGAATTTCCTTGAGTTCTGGTTCTCCCTTGCTCTCTCTTATTTTCCTCGTGTTTGCTTCTGAACGGCTGTGTGTGCGCGACACCTCCTACTCTAGCTTTGCAGATTTGTTCATACGTCTTCGCTTTCTCTTTAAACTCGGCAAAATTCTTCGCTCCATAAAGAATTACTTTATTTGCTGTCTCGTCTTGGATTCCATCTATAATGTATTGCATGACCTCAGCTGGGTCTATGT